GTTTTAAAATGCCGTGAATCAGAAGATGTCAGGGCACAAAATCCTGAACACAAAAAGAACATCAAGAAGGATTCTAACAGGTATTTTGCCGAAAAAGTCTGAAAAATTCTGAACTTTACAAGCCAAATTTAAGGTCTAAGAGATAGTGGAGTTCTCGATCGACATGATCCGGGATAAACATGTCAAAAATCGGAGATTGCTAACGTAATTCGTCACCCATGATATTAACAGGTAATCAAGTGGTATACTCGTGAAATTAAGGAATAATTTCACGTGCGTTTTGTCCAAATCCTTACAAAACGCACGTGAAATTATTCCCTAATTTCACTCGTCACCATTTGATTACACATACAGTGGAACCCCGTTAATACGACCACCTTCGGGCCATGGAAATTTGGTCGTATTAACGGGGTGGTGGTATTAACCGCAATTCAATGTAAGTGAACAACGTAACAGTAAACGAAACCGAGTAATGAGAAAAAACACTGACTTCTTGTTCCTTGTTATGAAAGGAATGGGCTTGTGAAATGTAGGGAGGATACGGGATGGAAATCCCATGATGAGTTTACAAGTTTACTGGACAACCAAGTAAGGTTGATATGCTTAACAAATTATTAGACATTCCAAATAATCGATCTGTGAGAAAAGAGATGAACAGGGAATATTAATGGACTCGAAGAGAAAAGCCACAGTGGAAGGCAGCAGAAACAAGAAGGTAAAATAACTTTGAAAGCCTCGAAATTCTGGAAAGTGAAGTCTTTCAGATATTTTGTATTATTTATTCATGCATCCTTTTTACTGAACACTGCAATTTAGCGGATGTCATGCTAACCACTAACACCTTTGCCTAAAAACATTCAATAAAATATTAGTCATACGTTATTGCTTGTCAGATTGTGTCTGTTTTCAGGGGCACCCAACGACAATTTTCGGGAAAATATCTGTTCGGAAGACGATTTGAGATCTAGAATTTTCGGAACATTTGTTGTAAAATTTCTTGCTTGCCTGCTTCTCCTAGGATTTTCGAACATCCAACGGGGTGGTCGTATGGCGGAGTTCCACTGTACTTACACTCTCTTAGGGGAGGGATAAAAAACGAGCTCCCCTAAAAACGCCTGGGTGGGAGGCTAGCCAATTACTCGCCCTCAATCGCTATGGAACTTAAAGTAAGCAAAGAAATTACATGTAAATGACAAAGTCAGAGATTCGAGACAAACAAATATGGCCTGAGCATATTTTTGAAGTTGCAAATACCAGAGATAAACATTGAAAAACTGTTAGGCTGAACAGTTTTCAAAAACCCTAATTTCAATCCGTTTCATTCTCCTTCAAATTTGCCCATCCGTGGCATCTGTTATATCTGTTGCGGTTATTTTTATGTTTCTCTTGGATTTAACTGGGGAACTAGTATGAGAATTCCAGGTTCAACTCCGACGTTTTCGATTACATATAGAAAATGCAGTCACGCGAAACAAGCGGCGCACACGAAATCAAGTCGCCTCCGAATGAGTGAAGAAAATTTTCATACGGAGTTGAGTAGAATTGCATTTTACGGCTATATCATATATCCTAAGCTTTAATTATAGTTATAGATATGAAATAAATCTTATCCGGATAATGTACACAGCTAATTCATCTATTCTGTACAGCAAAGAAAAAACTGTCCGGATACTGGGCACGTGACATCAATACCTATTGAATGTTTCTGTGCTCCGTTATTCCAAACAAATCGAATTTCAAGAAGAATTAATAAACTTTCTGAGAACCTGACTTCTTTAAGTATCTTCACTTTAAATATTATAAAACCGTGTCTTTGAAATATCACATATTCCCTACCCTTTTCTGAGCAGCACTAATTTTACTGCGCAGTGAACAGCGTAAATATTAGCCATGAAACAAGAGAGAATAAAGGGGACAGAGAAGGCATCCCCTATACACACCCTATTCCACAGGTAATTCGTCTCGAGTTATTTTTAACACCACAGATCTCAAGGGGGATTAGACAACAGCCAATCACACAGCGCGAATGTGTTCCGCGTGGATGACCCACCCTCAAGGCCACGCGTCCTTCACGAGAGCGATATTGCTATTCGCTTTGTCGACGAAAACGACTAGAGAGATTTCTGCTAAAGCTGTGTCAGCAAAACGGAAATTAAAAAAGAATCACCCTTCCTCTCTTTTATAGAGCTAACAGTACAGCAGGGAAATCCTTAACACACTGAATATTCTCTCAGGTTCATTTATAATTTACAGTTTGAAGAGAGCAATTTCTGGTTTGATACTTATTCTTTTATTAGTCTTTTATTATTCAACAAAAATAACACTTGGCGTCCTCCTTGCTTTATTGTACAAACGACCAGTTTCAATAGACCGGCGAAATTTCTCATTTTATTAAAGCACTGAGGTTACGACAACTTCGAGTTAAACTGATTGCACGGGTTGTCAAAGAGTCCAGCGATTCCCTTTTCTCAGGTGAGCGCTGACTCATTTCGCGTCAAATTCAGGAATGCTCTCGATCTCTTTACACTTTCATTGCCTTTCGCCCGACATGTTTTGCACGGCGTTTAGTCATGCGTAACCTCCACGAAACATCCACGCAGCGCGCGAGGTAACTTTATCCCGATTCTAAAAATAACTCGAGACGAATTAGCTATGGAATAGGGTGTGTATGGAGGATGTCTTCTCTGTCCCCTTTATCCTCTCTTGCCATGAAATGTTTATTCACCTGAACAGAATAGCCTGAGTATCAGACGTTTCTGGGGGGAAAGGGGAAAGATGGAAGCGAAAAAGGGACCCATCTAAAATCTCCTCTCCCCTAGCCCCTTAGGAAGGCCTGATACTCAGGCTAGAACAGAACGGCGTCTTCTGCGACTGTTTCGCAAGCTTTCAACTCACCAAAACCTTCATCTTAAAGCTGAAATGTTCAGCTTTCATTCGAAATACTTCGGCGCCCCAAAAATTGAGTTTTTTTTTTTTAAGTGTCCGGATACTTGGCAACATACTGTACCGACAGGAAGCGAAGACTGTTACTTGTTACAGTAAGGCCCGGTGTAAATATCGCATTTCACATGTGCCAAATTTAATTCAGGTATTGAATGCGTAGGAAGTTCGGCGTTTAACTAAAACTAAATTCGACAACGCGCGCGACTTCTGTCGCATCTTCGACTTAGCCAGTCAAATCTCGACAGAAGTTCAACCGTTGTGTCTTGTGCCGAATTGAATTTTTAAATCATGTTTAATTTATTATGACTCACAATTCTCAATTTTTTCCCAACTCTATAAACGCTCGCTCATGATTCGACGTTTAAAATAGCGGATTTACTTATTTGAGTAGAACCAAATAGGTATCAGACTCGGCACATGTGAAATTTGACGTTCAAACCGGGCCTAACGAGTGCTATTTGCGCAATTACCGTGTGGCATGAAAATTTTGCGGGTTCTAATTTTTGCAAATTTTGCGGATTGACCTCGATCCGCAAAAATTAGCTCCCGCAGAAAAAAAAAAGAGTAGAACCAAACAGGTATCAGACTCGGCACATGTGAAATTTGACGTTTAAACCGGGTCTAACGAGATGCTATTTGCGCGATTACCGTGTAGCATGAAAATTTTGCGGGTTCTAATTTTTGCGAATTTTGCGGATTGACTTCGATCCGCAAAAATTAACTCCCTTAAGTCAAATTAAAAACTCTGCTTCTAATGGACTTGTTGTGTATGGTAGGGATAGGCTTTTGTTTTGTTTTGCTGTTGTTCAGTCCCTTTGTGCAGTAAGATATTACAGTGATTACCGTACTATTCTCCATTAAATACGTAAGTAGAGTGAACTTTGCCTGAACGTACCGTAAAATAAAAGTTGAAAATACCATATTAAGGTTTCTTCCACTGAAATATTCTGGTACTTGAACAGGGAATCGCAAAAATTAGTTCCCACCAGAAATTTCAGTCATCTCGAACCGCAAAAATTTGTTCCCGCAAACCACAAAAAATCGCCAATCCGCAAAATAAAACTCCCGCAAAATTTTCATGCTACACGGTAAACCTCCAATTTAAACTCTAAAGTTTCTTGCAAAATTCGTTAAAAAGGAGTTACAATTATTTAATAAATTGTCCAAAATATATAAATAAATCAACACTTCAAACAATTCGAGTCAAAATTCTTTCATTTACTTTATTCAAGTAATTCTAGCATCTTCGGGAATTAAACGTCATCCCATTCCATTCCGATAATTCCTCGGGAATCATTTCGGGTCGCGTGTGAAAAAATTTGGGGATCATTTCGGGTCGTGTTTAGGTCGATTTTGGGGACCATTTGGGGTCGCGTACAGTACATTTCAGTGAATATTTGATCAAGGAAGATGAAATTTAGTTCGAGTTGGCGGGGAATTCGAATTATTCGAGTCCCAGTTAACCGAGTAATAATGACTGAAAAATGTTCTGAAATCCAAGGGAAATTGGACTTAGTTCGAGTTAGAGGGGAGTTCGAGCTATCGGGTTTCTAGTGTAAGTTCGACGGTTGATTTAGACGTCCAACTTAATTAGTCGGACTCAATTCATTTTCACGATGTTCAATGGTCTAAAATGCTTACAAGTGACAATAATTTTTAGCAATTTGCACATTAGGTTCGACGTTTGAACCGAAGCCGCTCCACAGTCGAAATTCCCATGTGGGCCAATCGATCTTAATTCATGAAATTAGATATGTCGAACTTCAATTAATTGATTCAAACGTCGATCTTTTCATGTACTTAATTGAAGGGATTTGAATTTACGTCACAGACATGATCGACCACTCACGCATCGAGCCGTCTCGCGGGAGTCGCGGGGCGAGGAAAGCATGCTTATTTCCCGAGAGGCAGCGCAGGCTCATTTCGCTAGCAATCGAGGCCTCATATTGGCATTCACAAGAGAGAAGTTTCAAATACACACTTTTCTCAATTACTGAAGCGCAGCCCTCAAATATGAGAAGCATTAACAAGGCATGCAGAATTATTTTTTTAATACAACCATTACGGTACTCCATTCACTCATATTCACGAAATAATAACTCTTACTGATACTCAAAATGATGGTGTCCCATCTATTCAATAAATCCATGGCAACGTAAACTTGAACACTTTTTAAACTGCTAGACCTAGTATCCTTGCTCCAGATCCACAAGAAATTGGAGTTTCTTTCCTGATTCATATAAGGAGAGGTTCTCAGCAAACAACTCTGCAACCTTAAGAAAAACAGATGGATAATCAGTTGACACATATCACAGTATTTATTATATCAAGAGCCTATTATGGCTCTTGATTATATACATACTGAGAAATACTCACCAAAAAGCGATGTCGCAAATTTTCGTACGCAAATTAGTTCTAGCCAATCGGAGGAGCGAACGATGGTTTTCGCACGTGAAAAAAATAATACGTCCAATCAGAATCGCGAACGATGTTTTTTCACGTGTGAGAAAAATGATACGTCCAATCAGAAGCCACAGAGGTGTGTGAGTTTCGCGCCAAAATTCCCGCCTTTTATTGCAGCTTGCAGCGCATTCATTCGCACACATTCAACGAGAAAAGTTTACTCAAAGAGTATTTCTCGCTAATAAAGTGAAAAACATTTCGGAAGTGGAGTAGAATAGTTTCGTTTGTTTCACTGTCGATAAAGAAAACGGTAGACAGCCGGCGAAACAACAGCGGAAAGGGATAAACAGAACGAGACGTAAGCCTTTGTTGTGCTTTTTATCGGAGCTACTTTGCCTTTCATTTAAGCTTAAGCTTATATTGAAACCGGTCATTTTACTTAAATTCACTCATTTTCAATTGTACATTGAGAACAAACAGTTAAGATTACTTATAGTTCTTGGATTACCTCATATCCTCACCGTCATTTATGTTTTTAACAAACGTTTTTACTAAAATGCTGATACTTCGTTTTCGTTGTCATTTTGCGATAAGTGTGTAGCAGCAAATTTTAGCACTTTTGAAAGATTTAAAATAAAAAGGCCCCCAAAAAGATGAATGTCTCAGTATGTATATAATAAACACAATACCACATGAAAAGTGCTTTGTAAGGTATTTACGCACTCGTTGTTCTTGTATCAGAAATCTTACTCGTTCGCTGCGCTCACTCGTTCGATTTCTGATACGTTAATAACTCGTGCGTAAATATCGTACGCCAGCACTTTCCATGAAGTATTCTCTATGTATGTGATCAGAAACCCATAAGGGGTCAGCCTCCTCCTCAGGCGCTTCGTTTTTCGCATGGCAGAGGCGAGCGCGAAACGAGTGACTGGTGATGAACCGCAAGAGACCATGGGAAGGGTACAGACGGCAGGCGAAGCCCGTTGTCTCTTTCCCGCCTTCCTTTGCGCGCACATTTTCATCAAAAGAGAGACGTCTGGGTACGAGGCAGCATAAGGGGTTGAAACGTGTAACTTGCGTTTAATGCTCGTGAATATTCACTTTTACCATATTTGGAAACCTTAGTGACGGATATCCATTTTCAACAAAATGGCTGCTGCGCGATCACCATGCAGATGTTTTAAGACAAGAGTTCTGCATTTCAAGGTTAAAAATACACCGTTAAAAGACAAAAAATGGAAAGAGAAAGTTCAAAAAAATGCTCAGCTTTCTTTTTGTGGAGAAAGGGAAGCTTTCCATCAAGAAATCGTCCTTCGAGGAATTCAACCTTGTTTTCTTCACGGCGGAGCCCATGGTCTGTTTTGAAATGAAACCAAATCAGCGAAGTTTTTGCTGAATTTTCAGGTACATTTTGCACTCTATGGCCAAGACAATTAAGTTTTTGAAAGGGAATTTATGTATTTTTAAATGTTTCATAGACGTTTTATAAATTTTTCTCTTCGGCGCTAAAGAAAAATGACAAAATGTGCCCTGATTTGAGATGGATTTTGTGTTGAATTTTGCCATGTGCTTAGCCGATGTCACTTGCGTGAACGGATCCACGATCCAGATAGTGTTTTCCGAATTGCTTTAAAGGATTAACTTTTTGGACTTTGAATAAAATTTTCAAGAAACGGCTTCTCTGTCAGGTTTTGGACACTTTTCGATACGCAGCTAATGAATTTTATTCGAAAATATTTTTCACTGTTTATTCTAGACATTTAACATAAGAATTTTAAAAGCCTATTTGCAGTATAAGTTTTCTGTGCAGATACAAAGGTTTATAGGCCGGTTAAACATGTAACTTCAAGAAGTTGCGAGGCCGTCAATGTGTTTCATAATGTTACGTTTGGCCCGGGTGATAAGGCAATAATATCCTGCTCAGTGTTTCGGTAATAGATTCCTGGGTTCAACCTTTGAAAGCTTTCTCGGCTTTCGGGAGTTTTTCCCCCGTTTGTCGGCCATTTTTTTAAGCGGGCGCAGGAACCTGAAGGAAAATTACGTCACGTTGTTTACGAAGTTTGATTGGTCAGCTATCTCTCCTTCTCGTTCCAAATATGGTACTTTCGAAAATGAATAATCACGAGCATCGGACAAAGCAAACATATGAGAGTTACACGTTTCAACCCCTTATGAGTTTCTGATGTGATACAGTAGATGGGTTATTACAACTTAAAAATGTCTTCCTAACCAACTAAATGGAGCTAGATATGACTGATCATGATATACAGGATACATTTTGGTGGCAAATACTTGGAAATTAAAAACACTTTTTACATTGCAGTTTACGTGATGTTAGACAGGAATATTAAAGAATTCTTTTGGTACAAGAACTAGACAATAATTAATAATCCAATACTAAACAGAACAAATAATATTATTATACACATATTCAACAATATTGTATTCTGCCAAATAAATACTTGCTAGTTTATTTCTTTTCAATATTACCGGGTGGAGGAATCAACAAAGTTTTTTGCCGGGAGGGCCACGCATCGAACCACTTACCTTTTATACCGTAAAATTCCGAAAATGAGCCCCTCCATGTAAAAGCCCCTCCAAATATAAGCCCCCCAAACCGGTAACGCAAAAAGCTTCCAAAAAAACCCCGTTAAATCGCCCCTCCAAATATAAGCTCCCTGGGGGCTTGTACTTGGAAAATTGCCCTCAAATATAAAGTAAAACAAAGCAAGAACGGTAAATTATTTACTTCCAACTATAAGGCTAGCCCAATCGATTTTGAAACCCAAATTTCCCTCCGTAGGGATATAAGCCCCGAATATAAGCCTCCTCCCTCCGAATATAAGCCCCTCCGAAAATAAGCCCCTCAAAAAGGGTCTTTGAAAAATATAAGCCCCGGGGCTTATTTTCGGAATTTTACGGTATATCATTTTTGACAGAAAAAGAACTCCTTCCTGCACCTTCTACTGTCAAATGCCGGGTACCCCACTTCACATTGCTAGTTTAGAACGCTATGCATTTGTTAGCTCTTTTAGTTTCCCTACCTTTTCATATACTTCAGTAAGTTTTATTTCCATTTTGGTCATTACAAGTTACAGCAGTTAAAAAAACAATTATAAATAAATGGAGGAAGACTGAAAAACCTTTTGTTTACAGGCGTTCACTAAGCAGTCCCCCTACGACCTTTATAACAAAGCATTGAACTGTTTTGGTATCGGAGGTTAGCAATTTTAAAATTAATGTAACTTGCGCTAACTCGAACCAAAATCGATTTCCCCTGGATTTCCGTCATACATTTACTGTTAGTAATTTTACCCTCGGTAACTCGAACCCTCAATAACTCGAACAATTCAGATAATTTTACCCTCGATAACTCGAACCATGTTTTGAGTCCTTAAAAAGTCGGGAACAATGAATTTTGAATTTTTCAATTGACGTATTGTAGGCATATAGTTTACTAGAGGCAGGTACAAAAGTCGGACCGGATCAACTCCGACCGCCAGTCCGGGTCGGATCAACTCGGATCGACTCGGACCAACTCGGATCGAATAAAAAAAATAAAAATAAATTGGACTCGGATCAACTCGGATCATAAAAAAAACTCGGATTATAAAAAGAAAAATAAAATCAGTCGGTATCACTTAACTTTCACCCGCCATTTTGTTTTTTTCTCACAAACTTGTGGTTGCGTAAATTAATTTTATTTTCATTTTTATTAATTTTAATGATACACTAGTGAGCAGCCCACGTAAACTTCCAGTGAACATTTTCAACTTGGAAGGAGGAGAAATCATGCTCGCCCGGGACAACGAAAATTTTCGTACCTCAGGCGAGAATTGAACTCACGACCCTCCGCATACTACCTTATTCTCCTTAATTTTCGCGGGTTCTTAAATTCGCGATTTTCGCGATTTTAAAAAATTCGCGAACTTAAAGACCCGCGAAAAATAACGACCGTGAACTTTGATCTCGCGAAATTTAATGGACATAGAAAAATCATGTATTGGTGTTTTCAAGGGTCCTAACAAATTTTTAACACAAGGTGCATGCTAGTACAAGCAGCTATCATCTATCAACTTTAGATGTTAATCAGTGTCAAGATTCGCCTCAAGTTCTTCTTCGGCATCTGAGTAATCATCTTCGCACAGTTCCTCCAATACATCCTTTGTACAGTCGCCAAATTGACCATCCTGTCCCGGCTCCTTGTAGTGTGTAGTTACGAGTGTCTTGCATCTTTCCATTATTGCCCTGTTGCTTGGTGTATCGTCCATTTCACATTTCACCTAAAAAGGAATTCCAGACCTCTCTGAATCAATGGGGATCGACGATAGTTTTCATCAGAAACTTTAAGATGAACCATCCCACCTCTCAATAAGAAAAAGCTAGTAGCCCTAGAAATCTCTCTGAGCAAATGGCCCATAATCGAATCGGCCAAGCAACCACGGAGCCGTTTGTTAGCTGCGATTGCGTAACGATCGTAGATATTGTTTCGTTCGTGAGAACATCTCAGAGGAATACAGCTGCCGCTAAGGGACAGCATATTGGTTTTGTTTCAATTGTTGATTAACGAACAATTTTGTAAAAAAGAAAAAATAAAGTCACTTAATCGTCAATTTCGCGAAATTAAATTCCCTGCAAACACAATTTTTCTCCGCGATCGCGAAATTAAAGACTCGCGAAATGTGCCGCGAAAATTTTCGCGAAATTTAAGTACCGCGAAAATAAAGGAGAATAAGGTACATGTTTATCGGACGTTCCAACCACTGAACCGGAGGGTCGCGAGTTCGATTCTTGCCTGGGGCATGGAAATTTTTTTTGTCCCGGGCGAGCATGGTTTCTCCTCCTTCCAAGTTGAAAATGTTCACTGGAAATGTATGTGTGCTGCTCACTAGTGTATCATTAAAATTAAGTTTCAGAAGTCCTGCAGAAAAAAAACAAACAGGAACAAACAAACAAACACTCTTCGGTATTATACTATCTAAATGCGATCAACAGACCAGGCTTTTGATGCTTTTCTCATAAATAATTCAGTACACTTATTAATCAAAAATTATGCGCATAACTTATGATCACGCTCACCTCAACTTCTTTGCTTTGTGACAAAAAGCTACAATAAAATAAAAAAATAAGCAAATATATATTCTAGGCGACTGAAACTATCATTTTCTTGGAATGAAGCAAATTCATTGAGAAAGATGGTCGAGATTTTACCTTCCTCGAGGTCATCCATATCTGTAAAGCAGAGCGCGTCGTGTAACGCAACTATAGCATAATCCGAGAGGAACTGGCACTAGTAAAACAAAATGGCGCCTGAAAGCCACGGAGAAAAAAAGGATCATCTGGCCTTTTTTACCCTCCAAATAGGTTAAACTTTCAGTTTTGCTGATTTAATTTAATTTTTTTGATTTCTCCGGGTTGATCCGAGTCCAATTTTATTTTCTTTTTCTTTTTTTATTCGATCCGAGTTGGTCCGAGTCGATCCGAGTTGATCCGACCCGGACTGGCGGTCCGAGTTGATCCGGTCCGACTTTTGTACCTGCCTGTTTACTAGTGGAGGCTGATGTTGTTTGTCACAAATCTAACGTGAGACAGCTTTACCTTTTTTAGTCTCAAAACAGTAAAACGCATGCTCTATTTAGGCTACGTTTTGTTACGTTACGTTATGATTTATCAGGTAATCTAGAAGTATCTTTTTTTTGTTTTAATTTCACTTGACATTTTTACAATTAAGGCCCGGTTCAGACACCGAACTTTCCATGAGCCGAACCTGATACATTGAATTAAATACATAAAAAGTTCGGCGCCTGAATCAATTAGGAACGTTCTTTTCGGCTAGCCCGGCCGGGAATTTCGCCTTTGAAGCGACGTTGGAACGGCTTTGATTCAGACGCCGAACTTTTCACGTACGCTGAGGCTATATGGCCGGTAACCGGTCAAGGTTTTCAAAATACTAAATGGCCGGCAGTTCTATATTCACGCTGTGGCTATATGGCCGGTAACCGGTCAAGGTTTTCAACATACTAAATGGCCGGCAGTTCTATATTCTCAGTAAATTTCACAAAATCGAAAGATTCCAGCTAATCTAAACTATCATATGTCGATTTAGAAACGTCAAGCGATCCTGAAATGCTTTACAGATCTCAAGTCTAGTGTTTGGTTTGCGCTGGGCTAAGAGGCGGAAAGCATGTTTTGTGACACTTAGAAATTTTTTCAGCTCGACTGCCGGTCAAGGTTTTCAAAACACTAAATGGCCGGCAGTTCTATATTCTCAGTAAATTTCACAAAATCGAAAGATTCCAGCTAATCTAAACTATCATATGTCGATTTAGAAAAGTCAAGCGATCCTGAAATGCTTTACAGAAGTCAAGTCTAGCGTTTGGTTTACGCTGAACCATGTTTTGTGACACTTTTCAGCTCGACTGCCGGTCAAGGTTTTCAAAACACTGAAATAGTTGAAATAGTTTAGATTAGCTGGAACCTTTCGATTTTGTGAAATTTACTGAGAATATAGAACTGCCGGCCATTTAGTATTTTGAAAACCTTGACCGGTTACCGGCCATATGTGGTCCTTGGTCCGCGTAAGTTCCCGATGCCCTTAGTCCGCGTCTTTTCCGAAAATGATAAAATATTTCGTCAGGAAAAAAAATACGTTGAATAATGAAAGATATCGTGACTTACTGATTAGCATTCTTTCATATGACGAAGTTTCAGTAACCTGAGATCAGGCCCAATAGTTGACCGGTTCTCATACATTCTCTCTAACGGCTACCGCTCTCTTTTCGTTTCGTCTTGCCCGCTGGAATGTAATTTTCAAAGCGAAACGAAAATAGAGCCTGATCTCAGGTTAAAGTTTCAGCCATCTTGGTGCGGGTGAAGACGCGAAATTAAAGTTTGTTGACAGGTAGGTTAATTTGTCTTTCCTGAAGTTTGGATTTTTGCGGCACCGTAAATTACGTGGTCATCTTTACTTAGCCTGCAAATAACTAAAACGCAACAGGAAGACTTGCCTTTTTGCAGAACAACTTATTTCTGCTGTTGGAAGTATATTGCTGTAGAACTCTGAATTTTTTGCTTTAGCGACTCTTGAAAAATATCACCAAATTTCGCTTAGTAAAAGTAAAAAGCGACGGCCTTTGTTTTCGAAGAATGTTTTGAAAGTCGTCCCTATACATGTCTAAAGTTCTCTTTTATAACACCTCGAGTACATACAGAGTTTTTGGTAATTATTTTCGACCGCGCTAAAAACCGGTCGTCGACGCTCGTGTGGGAGACTCGAGGAGACTGTTGTCTGAAGTCTTTGAAAAAAAAGCAGATTATTTTATGCTCACAACATCTTCCGAAAAAAACTTATACTTAATTGCATCAAGAAAAGAAAAAAATACAAGAAATACTGTGAAAATCACGTTTTCGTGTGGAAACTATAACATTTTTACGTTTTTATCGTGCTGCTTGCCTGAGACGCGGACCAAGGACCATCGAAAACGGTCGCCTTTTTACGAATTCCAAGCAAATATTTATGTCTGGAACTTGAAACTTCAGGATTATCGACAGGAACATAAAAACTATCTTCAGGGAGTATTTCAGCTCGTTACATGAAGATTCGGGTAAGAAATTCAAGTTAATGACTTTTACACGCGGAACAAGGACCACATACTGTAACGTATTTTGTAAGCAGTTTGACCGAAATGAGCATTTTTGTCCTTTTGATCTTAGTTCAGCTAAAATTAAGATAGGCATCTAAATCAATTCAGTCGGTCTAAATAATTTTGGTCGGCCTTAATTCGAATTAGGTTCGGCTCATGAAAAGTTCGGTGTCACTAGTGAGCAGCCCACGTAAACTTCCAGTGAACATTTTCAACTTGGAAGGAGGAGAAATCATGCTCGCCCGGGACAACGAAAATTTTCGTACCTCAGGCGAGAATTGAACTCACGACCCTCCGCATACTACCTTATTCTCCTTAATTTTCGCGGGTTCTTAAATTCGCGATTTTCGCGATTTTAAAAAATTCGCGAACTTAAAGACCCGCGAAAAATAACGACCGTGAACTTTGATCTCGCGAAATTTAATGGACATAGAAAAATCATGTATTGGTGTTTTCAAGGGTCCTAACAAATTTTTAACACAAGGTGCATGCTAGTACAAGCAGCTATCATCTATCAACTTTAGATGTTAATCAGTGTCAAGATTCGCCTCAAGTTCTTCTTCGGCATCTGAGTAATCATCTTCGCACAGTTCCTCCAATACATCCTTTGTACAGTCGCCAAATTGACCATCCTGTCCCGGCTCCTTGTAGTGTGTAGTTACGAGTGTCTTGCATCTTTCCATTATTGCCCTGTTGCTTGGTGTATCGTCCATTTCACATTTCACCTAAAAAGGAATTCCAGACCTCTCTGAATCAATGGGGATCGACGATAGTTTTCATCAGAAACTTTAAGATGAACCATCCCACCTCTCAATAAGAAAAAGCTAGTAGCCCTAGAAATCTCTCTGAGCAAATGGCCCATAATCGAATCGGCCAAGCAACCACGGAGCCGTTTGTTAGCTGCGATTGCGTAACGATCGTAGATATTGTTTCGTTCGTGAGAACATCTCAGAGGAATACAGCTGCCGCTAAGGGACAGCATATTGGTTTTGTTTCAATTGTTGATTAACGAACAATTTTGTAAAAAAGAAAAAATAAAGTCACTTAATCGTCAATTTCGCGAAATTAAATTCCCTGCAAACACAATTTTTCTCCGCGATCGCGAAATTAAAGACTCGCGAAATGTGCCGCGAAAATTTTCGCGAAATTTAAGTACCGCGAAAATAAAGGAGAATAAGGTACATGTTTATCGGACGTTCCAACCACTGAACCGGAGGGTCGCGAGTTCGATTCTTGCCTGGGGCATGGAAATTTTTTTTGTCCCGGGCGAGCATGGTTTCTCCTCCTTCCAAGTTGAAAATGTTCACTGGAAATGTATGTGTGCTGCTCACTAGTGTATCATTAAAATTAAGTTTCAGAAGTCCTGCAGAAAAAAAACAAACAGGAACAAACAAACAAACACTCTTCGGTATTATACTATCTAAATGCGATCAACAGACCAGGCTTTTGATGCTTTTCTCATAAATAATTCAGTACACTTATTAATCAAAAATTATGCGCATAACTTATGATCACGCTCACCTCAACTTCTTTGCTTTGTGACAAAAAGCTACAATAAAATAAAAAAATAAGCAAATATATATTCTAGGCGACTGAAACTATCATTTTCTTGGAATGAAGCAAATTCATTGAGAAAGATGGTCGAGATTTTACCTTCCTCGAGGTCATCCATATCTGTAAAGCAGAGCGCGTCGTGTAACGCAACTATAGCATAATCCGAGAGGAACTGGCACTAGTAAAACAAAATGGCGCCTGAAAGCCACGGAGAAAAAAAGGATCATCTGGCCTTTTTTACCCTCCAAATAGGTTAAACTTTCAGTTTTGCTGATTTAATTTAATTTTTTTGATTTCTCCGGGTTGATCCGAGTCCAATTTTATTTTCTTTTTCTTTTTTTATTCGATCCGAGTTGGTCCGAGTCGATCCGAGTTGATCCGACCCGGACTGGCGGTCCGAGTTGATCCGGTCCGACTTTTGTACCTGCCTGTTTACTAGTGGAGGCTGATGTTGTTTGTCACAAATCTAACGTGAGACAGCTTTACCTTTTTTAGTCTCAAAACAGTAAAACGCATGCTCTATTTAGGCTACGTTTTGTTACGTTACGTTATGATTTATCAGGTAATCTAGAAGTATCTTTTTTTTGTTTTAATTTCACTTGACATTTTTACAATTAAGGCCCGGTTCAGACACCGAACTTTCCATGAGCCGAACCTGATACATTGAATTAAATACATAAAAAGTTCGGCGCCTGAATCAATTAGGAACGTTCTTTTCGGCTAGCCCGGCCGGGAATTTCGCCTTTGAAGCGACGTTGGAACGGCTTTGATTCAGACGCCGAACTTTTCACGTACGCTGAGGCTATATGGCCGGTAACCGGTCAAGGTTTTCAAAATACTAAATGGCCGGCAGTTCTATATTCACGCTGTGGCTATATGGCCGGTAACCGGTCAAGGTTTTCAACATACTAAATGGCCGGCAGTTCTATATTCTCAGTAAATTTCACAAAATCGAAAGATTCCAGCTAATCTAAACTATCATATGTCGATTTAGAAACGTCAAGCGATCCTGAAATGCTTTACAGATCTCAAGTCTAGTGTTTGGTTTGCGCTGGGCTAAGAGGCGGAAAGCATGTTTTGTGACACTTAGAAATTTTTTCAGCTCGACTGCCGGTCAAGGTTTTCAAAACACTAAATGGCCGGCAGTTCTATATTCTCAGTAAATTTCACAAAATCGAAAGATTCCAGCTAATCTAAACTATCATATGTCGATTTAGAAAAGTCAAGCGATCCTGAAATGCTTTACAGAAGTCAAGTCTAGCGTTTGGTTTACGCTGAACCATGTTTTGTGACACTTTTCAGCTCGACTGCCGGTCAAGGTTTTCAAAACACTGAAATAGTTGAAATAGTTTAGATTAGCTGGAACCTTTCGATTTTGTGAAATTTACTGAGAATATAGAACTGCCGGCCATTTAGTATTTTGAAAACCTTGACCGGTTACCGGCCATATGTGGTCCTTGGTCCGCGTAAGTTCCCGATGCCCTTAGTCCGCGTCTTTTCCGAAAATGATAAAATATTTCGTCAGGAAAAAAAATACGTTGAATAATGAAAGATATCGTGACTTACTGATTAGCATTCTTTCATATGACGAAGTTTCAGTAACCTGAGATCAGGCCCAATAGTTGACCGGTTCTCATACATTCTCTCTAACGGCTACCGCTCTCTTTTCGTTTCGTCTTGCCCGCTGGAATGTAATTTTCAAAGCGAAACGAAAATAGAGCCTGATCTCAGGTTAAAGTTTCAGCCATCTTGGTGCGGGTGAGGACGCGAAATTAAAGTTTGTTGACAGGTAGGTTAATTTGTCTTTCCTGAAGTTTGGATTTTTGCGGTACCGTAAATTACGTGGTCATGTTTACTTAGCCTGCGAATAACTAAAACGCAACGGGAAGACTTGCCTTTTTGCAGAACAACTTATTTTTGCTGTTGGAAGTATATTGCTGTAGACTCTGAATTTTTTGCTTTAGCGACTCTTGAAAAATATCACCAAATTTCGCTTAGTAAAAGTAAAAAGCGACGGCCTTTGTTTTCGAAGAATGTTTTGAAAGTCGTCCCTATACATGTCTAAAGTTCTCTTTTATAACACCTCGAGTACATACAGAGTTTTTGGTAATTATTTTCGACCGCGCTAAAAACCGGTCGTCGACGCTCGTGTGGGAGACTCGAGGAGACTGTTGTCTGAAGTCTTTGAAAAAAAAGCAGATTATTTTATGCTCACAACATCTTCCGAAAAAAACTTATACTTAATTGCATCAAGAAAAGAAAAAAATACAAGAAATACTGTGAAAATCACGTTTTCGTGTGGAAACTATAACATTTTTACGTTTTTATCGTGCTGCTTGCCTGAGACGCGGACCAAGGACCATCGAAAACGGTCGCCTTTTTACGAATTCCAAGCAAATATTTATGTCTGGAACTTGAAACTTCAGGATTATCGACAGGAACATAAAAACTATCTTCAGGGAGTATTTCAGCTCGTTACATGAAGATTCGGGTAAGAAATTCAAGTTAATGACTTTTACACGCGGAACAAGGACCACATACTGTAACGTATTTTGTAAGCAGTTTGACCGAAATGAGCATTTTTGTCCTTTTGATCTTAGTTCAGCTAAAATTAAGATAGGCATCTAAATCAATTCAGTCGGTCTAAATAATTTTGGTCGGCCTTAATTCGAATTAGGTTCGGCTCATGAAAAGTTCGGTGTCACTGTGCAGTTTTCCTAACTCCCGACTATATTCTTCGAACCCCTAATAACTCGAACTTTTTTCGATTTCCCTTAAAGGTTCGAGTTATCGGGAGTCGACTGTATCTATTAAATTTTCAGAATCAACATGTAAAATTAATCCATTATGGTAACCTGGACAGAAATTAGATTACATTCAGTTACAATTACCCGGTAGGCCTGATAGTATCCCTTTTTTTCCTTTTTGTTCTTAAATACTTCCAACGAAATAGACTGCCTTATTTCGTTTGGAATATTGTTCCAAATATTTATTACTTTATTTTGTGTCGAGTAAACAGCTAGATTTGTCCTATTAAACTTTTTGTGACGATAAGTAGACTTATTTGTTAAATGGTTGTGGATCTGAGTATTTTCTGAGCAGAAATCCGATTCAAATATTCAGGGAGTGGACGAGAGGGTGCTTTATACAACGAAAATGTTATAACTCGCAATGCCTTTTTCTGCCTCCCCTCCCTCTAATATACCTTTTGATCACGTGTGTCTTGGGTGTTTCGATACAGTTTCTCGGAGACCATACCGATGTCTTTTTCAATCGCCTTAAACTGAAGCGATTTCATCCATGTCCGATCGCCACAAAATTTGCACCAGTGATTGACTAAGAATTGAGGTTTGTCAAAATGCAGTTTTTAGTAAAATCGATATTACTATGACAACAATAAACAAAAAAACTTTGAAATCGATTAAATCCCAATTTCGCGCGATCTAGAACTACTAGTGAAAATCCGACAACAGGAACTTAAAGTGTGGTGTTTAGCAAATAACATCCGTGAAAACTCGTCAAAATGCCCACACCAATCTACCCTGCGAGCAGAGGCTACATTTGCGCGGTATGAGCTGGCGCACGCCAGCTCATTCCGCGAAAATGTAGCCTCTGCTCGCAGGGTAACACCAATCATACCATTGGCAAAAAATCATGATTTGCTTAGGAAGCCGTCTAATTCGTCCGATTAGTACAAATGGTAAACTCCTCAATCTATTGGTCGATACCATTGTAAAATATGTGTACCGCCCTCAGATATGGATTGATACACAAGAGCAGCAGCTTATTTCAAAACTGCAAAGTATAACACAGCCATTAAGCTTTCTTTGGATATTTATCTATTTTCCTTTATTCTTCTTTGGTAGGCATACTTAAGCTTTATTTGTTTTGCCGGTTCCGATTAAGAATGGCTGTTTCAGGAGAGACCATAGCATTAAGCATTCTTAAAAGCCTCACAACATGTTATGGTTTTTCAACTGCTTAACAGAGGTTCATACGGTGGCCCAGAAGGGTCATACATGCAAATTAAAAATTGTACATGCAAACTAAAAATATTACCCGCAAATTAAATATAGTACATACAAACTAAAAATTGTGCTGCAAATTGAAAATAGAAAACATATCAATGCAAATTAAAAATCAAAAGTCCTGCACACGCAGTATGAGTGATGAGGACCTGGTCCGAGCCGTGCGCCGGCCCATTCATGTTTCATGTTTGTAATATTTTTAGTTTGCATGTACAATTTTTAATTTGCATGTCCTATTTTTAATTTGCAGCAACATTTTTAATTTGCAGGTGAAATTTTTAGTTTGCAGCAACATTTTTAATTTGCATGTGTGACCCTTCTGGGCCACCGTAGTTTCAACCTCAATAATAATTATTGTTGGCCAACCCTAAAACAGTTTACACCTTCAAATCTACTTACCTCATGAGGAAATGAAAGTGCAGAGACGTGAGGTGTGATTACTACTTGCTGCATGTTCCACAAAACACTTTCCTTTGGTAGTGGTTCAACTTCAAATACATCCAGAATCGCACCAGATATCCAGCCTTGATTTAATGCATGAACAAGACTTTTTTCATCTATAACATCTCCTCTACCAACATTAATAAGGACAGGATGATTGTCTTTACAACTCTCAAGTACATTTCCAGATAGAAGGTATTTAGTTGCAGGTGTACTTGGCAATATATTACAAATGTAATTGCATGACTGCAGCACCTCAGGTAAACTAGATGCAGTTGTATAGTGATCCACAAAAGATGGTACATCTGCAGATCTCTCTCGACGTCCTATGCCCCAGACTTTCATACCTAAAGCTTTACATGCTTTGGCCACTGCCTTTCCTATATCCCCAAGTCCAAGAATTCCAATAGAGAGCTGAGGCATCAAACGATAACAGTCAGTATGCTGCCATTCACGGTCCCTTAAAGAAGTTAACAAATAACTAGTTAAGACTTCACATACTGTGAAACTTATGCTGGGTCTAGGGAAACAAGACATCACACCAGTGTGTTTTCATTAAAAGCACACATTAGCCAAGTATAGCCTGCAAGGGGAGACACCTTTTCTGTCATGTGAAACTAAAGCCAAAAGAGGCATCTGCACCTGCATGCTAAGCCAGGTACCCAGGGTTGTCACAAAGATCTCGAGTTAGTAGGGGCAGACTTAAATAGCTAGGAAGTTCTTTTGGTTCTATTTTTCTTGTTCTTCCTTTGAAATTAGCTGGAGGCACGCTCATAGCAACCGACGGGGGAAATTGCCGGCCCCTGGCTCATACTGACGGCCCTGCAGGTACCAACAGAGTTTTCGTTAAGAATTCTAGTAGTAGGAGAAAGATGTAACATTACAGGAGAATATTTTGAAAGAGGCTCCACACCTGAATAAAAAATAGTCATAGGCTTAGCTACCGAAAGTTAGCCGCAGAATTTAGCATAGTAAACAGAGAATTCTCCCATCTCCGATGCCTAATGAACAGCCTGTACCAAACAGACAGAAACAGGCATAATTTAGTAATCAATGAATAAGGCTGAGTAGTTGTCTTCTTGCTGTTTTTGCCATTTTTTTAGCCATTATTTCGCCTAGTTCCAGCTGTAGTTCTTACTCTTGAAACGAGTGAAGTGTCTGCCATTTTAGTTTTCACAACAAAAACAACTCAACCTCGTCCCCAGGTCTTCTCAGTTAACTGTGTATTAACCTGTAGGGGGCTGCATTTTTGACGTCATTTCCTCATTAAACAAAATTCCTCCAAATTTGGTCATCAATTACTGGTTGTGGTGAATTATGCATGTGCCAATCAGAATTGGGGAAATATTTTGAATGAATAATAAATAGAGGATATTACACGGTGGCACGAAGATATGAATTTTATTTTCGAGTGGCAAAACAATATTTTACGAATGAGCGTAGCGAGTGAGTAAAATATTGTTTTTGCCAAGAGAAAATAAAATTCATATCTTCAAGCCGCCGTGTAATGTTCTTTTTATTATATAGACAAAAAGACGTTGATAAAATGATAGATTTTTATTCGCCAAAAAGTATACTCGTGACGGCTCAAATTTACAGTGCAGCAATATAAGGCATTGTTTACAATAATGTTGAGAAAAACCACTGAGCTGAATAGGACTCTACAATGAAAAAATATAAGGAAAGCTTTGAAAAACGTGTAAGTAAAATTCAAAAGACGCAAGACACCTACAAATTTCGAAGGGAAATTACATCATCGATAAACTTCATGTGTGAGATTATGGAAAATAAACCACTCAGGTCCCAGATGTAGTTTTTAAGAATTTTGTGAGTGGTATATTTTCCAGTAAAACACTCGTGTCTATATAATAATAACAATAGCCCATTTTCGAGTTCGCTATGACCGCTGAATTAAAGAAGTGAAGACGCATTTTTTACAGCCTTAGCCTCAATCTCAATATATTCACAAATTCCCACGAGAAAAAGACCTGTTTATTACTCTGTCTATTGTGTATATTCAAATTTCAAACTCTTACTTGCCAGAATTTCTGAATATTTTACTTTACGTCGAGGCTAACCCTGTATGAATGTGTCGTTAATGTTTATATTCAGCGGTAATTTTTAATTCGAAACTGGACTATTAATGAATGAGGCTGAGAATCTTATGAAGAATTATGGAGATCGTATACCTGCCAACTTTTTCTGAGTTATAAGCGTGAGATTTTTATCCTGGGAGTGCTGGGATTTTTGCAGACGACACGATCATTTCCGAAGATTCCCGAAGAAGTCTGAAGTCTTCCGAAGACGTCCGAAGTCTGCCGAAGGCGTAGTTATCGAGAAAACGCTTATCCACAAAATCAGAGATCGTGAGGAAGGTATTGTCATTTATTCATTTTACACATGGTTTTCATTCCTTACATGGGTCTGAGTTAACATATTTTTGAAAATTGTGTCAAGCAAGACGGCAACAACTCACATTTTTCAATCAGGCGTGAGAAATTGGCCCGCAGGCGTGAGCCTGCGTGAGATCGAAGTTTTCAACCCGCAGGCGTGAGAGTTGGCAGGTATAAGATCGAGGAGGGCTTTATCCATCGAGGCCGTATTTCCCCAATTCAAAATTTGGAAGAATTTTGTGTTCAATGAGGAAATGATGTTGAAAAAGCAGCCCTCTACAGGTTAATGCACCGTTAACCGAGAAGACCTGGGGATGAGGTTGAGTTGTTTTCGTTGTGAAAACTAAAATGGCGGACACTTCAATTGTTTCAAGAGTAAGAACTACAGCTGGAACTAGGCAAAATAATTGGCTAAAAACATAGCAAAAACAGCAAGAAGACAACTGGGAGGGCGACATCTGCTATTTGGAGAATTTTTGCCGAGCTGGACAAACTTAAACGTACACTATGGAAGATAAACTTAACATCGATGCAGGTAAGCATGTTTTAGCTGTGTTTTTAAACTAGGAATTATTTTGAATGAATAATAAAGCAATTAATGAATTTGGCTTTCGTAGGATATGAAGAATTAAGCAGATCTTGGAGGGTGTCATCCACCTCAGCCTTCAGCCTCGGTGGATAACACCCTCCTCGATCTGCTTAATTCTTCATATCCTACTCAGCCTCATTCATTAATTGCTAATTATTATTCATTCAAAATATTTCCCCAATTCTGATAGGGTAAAAGCACACACATAAAAGAATTTTGTGTTTAATGAGGAAATGACGTCAAAAATGCAGCCTTCTACAGGTTAATGCACCGTTAACTGAGATGACATGGGGACGAGGTTGAGTTGTTTTGGCTGTGAACTTGAAAAGTAGCGGACATTTCACTCGTTTCAAGAGAAAGAACTAGGCAAAAAAATAGCTTAAAACATGGCAAGAACAACAAGAAGACAACTCGAAGGGTGACATTTCCTATTTGGAGAATATTTGCAGAGCTGAACAACCTTAAACGTGCACTATCGAAGATGAACTTAATATCCATGGATCGATGGAGGTAAGCATGTTTAGCCATGTTTTTAAAGTAGGAATTATTTTGAATGAATAATAAAACAATTATTGAATTCAGCTTGCGTATCAGATGTAGAATTATGGAGATCTCGGAGGGTGTTATCTGCCGAGGACACCCTCCTCGATCTCCATAATTCTCCATATGATACTCAGCTTCATTCATTAATTGTTAATTATTAGTATAGGTAATAGCATGATTTGTAGTGATATTTGGCATAAATACCACAAGTGATATTTCAAAATTGTTATACATAATTTCATGAACCATTAGGCGAGTGAAATTTGAGACAATTTTGAAATATCACGAGTGGTATTTATGCCAGATATCAAGTACAAATCATGCTATTATTTGTTTATACGACTACCCGCAATAGTTTTGTAATTTTCACATGTAGGTATTTCAAATTAGGCTGAAATACAATTGCAGAAATTTCCCATGTCGTAGTGTAAGAAATCTAATAGTTAAGAAATGAAAAGAAATATTTATTACTGTTACCATTTGCATTCCTTTTGCTGAGTCCACATTTTGGGAAAGTTCCTCTCCCATGATATAATTTGGCCAATCACATACTGTGCCATGGCTGGACCAAATACACCACCAAATCTTGTCAACAGCAAAGATTGTTTTTGCTCTGTTGTAAAGTGCTTAGTAACGGCATCAATTCCAGCCCAGGTCAGCTGCATCCATTTAAGCTTGGTAAGTGTTGGCAAGTGACAGGGTGCTGTATTAGGATCTGTTATTATAACTTTAGCTTCCTGTAGCATTTCAACCTCTAACAAAAACACTGACCAGTTCACTAAGTTGTCACAAACTTTGTGTAACGTTTAATAAACAAGCGGGAGGGTTTTATCGGGGTGTAAAGCAGAATGGCTTTATACCCCGATAAAACCCAACCCACGAGTTTATTGAACAACTTCAAAAACATTCCTGGAAAAGTGTGTCTCAATGGAGTTGATAACAATGATGCTTAATTTGTGAACGTTGGAAATTAGCATACGAAAAAAAAACATTACATATGAAATTCTTACGTAAGAAAATCAAATCTCACACACGTGTTTAGAAATTTTCCAGTCTACGAACGACACTAACCAAAGAGGACATACTGTCTTGTTCCAGAGCTTTTCGGAAGCCTAAAAATGCTAAGAAGAGAGGAAGTTAATTGAAAATGGTACCTCAAAGTCAATTATTCCAGTGAAAAAGTATTCTTTGAAAAAATTTTTCTGGAATGGCCAAAAGGTAGGTAAACAAAAATCCAGCACTCGAGCCTTTCACAACTGGCAAGTCTTGAGTGCAACGCTTGGACACTGCTATAGCCAATATTACTGCTGTGTCACTGAACTTTTGGCAGACTAAATTGGTGAAAGAACAAAGTTTTTAATTTTTTGCAATAGTAAATTTACTGTGTGTGTTATTTTTAAAGAACATTAAATATTCACCCACCATTTGTTGTGTCAGTTGCTGTGCTGATAATTAATATTTATAGGTCGATCACGTGCAATGAAATAAAATGTCATCCCTATTAGTATTTTTTGTATAAAGAATACTAATGAGGATGAAATTTTTAAATAAAGAATATCAATGAAGCAAAATACAATCAGCCCCACACTCCCTTGAGACTGAAATCAAATGCCACCCCCAGGCTTTTTAGTTTGACAGTGTTTTACAAGCACAAGATGGATTTAAGCAGATGTGATAGGCTATTGAGCTCATGAATTATTAATGAGGTTTTGAACGTTTCTTTAACGTATCTTAGGATTTAAATCAATGTAAAGATCGGTATGCTTTACATCAACTTGAACTGCCTGCCACCCCATCCAGTCAGCATTTGATCACACAGGCTTAAAATTTCCAAATAACGATATTTAAATTTAATTTAATGCCAGTAATTCATACAAGTACACTTCCAAAACGAGGGAATAGTCACGCAACTAGTATGGATGATAATGATTACAGAAAGGCAACTTTACAATTCTTAACATTTTTTGTAAGTTATTTAACAAATGAGGCTGTGTATCTTATGAAGAACTATGGAGATTGAGGAAGGTGTTGAGTTCATCTCTGATAGACGCATAGTGCATGTTTAGGGTTGTTCAGCTCAGCAAATATTCTCCAAATAGCAGATGGCCCCCTTTGAGTTGTCTTCTTGAAGTTCTTGCCATGTTTTTAGCTATTATTTAGCCTTGTTCTTACTCTTGTCCACCATTTTTATTTTCACAACCAAAACAACTCAACCTCATCCCCAAGTCTTCTCAGTTAACAGTGCATTAACCTGCAAGAAAGCTGCACTTTTGATGTCATCGGTTGATCAATCTCAAAATTCTTCCAAATTTGATCATCTGTAGCTGCATGGTTATGGTGAATTATGCATGTGCTTTTAGCCAATTAGAATCGGGGAAATATTTTGAATGAATAATAATGCTTCTTAAAAGAAAAGAGCCTTTACTTAGGGAATTGGTTGCAAAACTAAAGAGGTCTTCATATGTTCAAGTTACAATAATTTGTAACTGTGAACAGCCAGTCTGCATGAGATATATAGTCACACAGTTTTCTTGTGAAAGTGTTGGACTTTGCCCCTTTCATGGCTCGTACGTGAAGTAAATATTCAAATTATTACACAGTAATCTATAATAAGCCCTGAATAGCTTGAAGAAAGTAAAAGGAAAGAATCTTGAAACATATAATAGATAGATAGATTATCATTTATTGATCATCTCTATCAGTCTCGGTTGAATAAAGCCTGTATATCTTGATGGGTTTTATAGTGGGTTGTTTTCTAGTTGTTCGCTGTCTGTTCTGGTTAACTTATCATTTTCATGCAGTACAATAATTCTGTATGGTCTAGGCTGTCGTTAATGGGTTTCCGACAAATAATCACTCTCAGGTGCCCAGTATCCGGACAGTTTTTTTTGCTGTACAGAATCAATGAATTAGCTGCACACATTATCCGGATAAGATTTATTGCGTATCTATAGCTATAATTACAGCTTAGGATATATGATATAGTCATAAAATGTACTTCTACTCAACTCCATAAGGAAATTTTCTTCACTCATTCAGAGGCAACTTGATTTCGTGTGCACGGCTTGTTTCACGTGACTGCATTTTCTATATAACACCGAAAGCGTTGGAGTTGAACCTGGAATTCTCATACTTTCCCCAGTTCTGACTTCTAGAATGGGGTTGCAACGGTCTGAAAACTGTCACAAAGGAATTGAGAGATATATTGTGAAAGAAGGAGGAATTAGTGCTAGAAAAGCAGGCTTATTGTCGGAACTCAGCATGAAGAAATCAACACTGCAGGTCAGACCAAATAGGAGAGTGTCCTTTGACCATCGGATTGAGGTCCCTTCCCCAAGCTTTTTTTTTTTAATAAAAAATGAAGGAAAAAAGTCGTTTGCAGATTGGCTGATTGAGCTTGCAAACCGCGGCTTCGGTATATCCAAGGATGCCTTCCTTAAATCAGTGAAAAAGTTCCTAGACAAGGAAGTAAGAATTATACCATTTAACAGTCGCTCGCATTCCCCACCATACCCCAGTCATTTGTTATGTTTTATTTCACGATGCTAGGTCATATTTTTGGAAGCTTATAAGTCGCTTGCCTCTCGAAATTTATGTACAATTATGCTGTTATTGTTGTGTCCGGATACTGGGCCAGCTGTCGGGATACTGGGCAACATAGGAGCTCTGCAAAAATATTAATTACGCAATGGAAACAAAGGCAAAAAAGTTAAACTATCAATTCGTCATCTTAAGGACTAAATAGATTTTCTTTGGGCCAAATTTCAGAGTTCTTGCGACTAACAAAGGAAAGTCATTGCAATGTTAAACTGAAGTGTCCAGATACTGTAAAACCTACTGTACAATGTCCAAACGAGTTTATGTTTCACTGTCACATGAGATTCTATGTCATGCAATGGTCCGCGACAAAGATGTTATGGTAGCCTGTGTACAGCCGCCCCCCCTCCCCTCAGGAAAAAAACAGAGAAGGGGCATTTTTTTCTGAGTTGACGGGGCGGCTGTACACAGGCTAGTTTTATGGCAGCCCAGTTAAATTGACTCTCAGCGAGTCTAGTTTACTGCAGAGGGAACATTTTTAAAACACAAATGGAACCCTCGAAGAAACTCTACCTGGAAATTTCGGATCCACTTTGAATCGAATAGCTACAATCTTGGACAAAATAAATGGAAAACCTAGACCCCCCCTTCCCTCCCAAATCAAGAATGGGAAAATGGCGCGTTTTTGGCCTTCGCGCCGCTTCATCCTTGATTTGGGGGGAATTGGGGTTTGCTGTTCCATTTTATTTTGTCCAAGATTGTAGCTTAGATCACAAAATCGGTAAACCTGGATTTGGATTCCTTGGACTTCAAATCCGGCGAATCCTGGATTCCCCATATCAAAAACAAGGATTTGGATTTAAAGAAAGGAACGCGACAGTCGAAACTTGTATGCATTTGCATAATAAATGTATGGGGTGGTAGGAAAATCTTACAATTCGTAACTCACATTAAAACATCAAAGTAAGCCTAAGCTTATTGTAACAGATCAGAACTTATTCAAGTCAGATATTTAACTTGACTAACCTTGACTGCATCCTACAGGAACATCGATGAATTTAACATGCGGACAACGTTTGGAGAGATGGTCCTTGAGGTGGCGAATGACAGAAGAAACGTGAACGACATCAACACAGTTGTCAACACTGCGCCTCGGAAAGCGGGAAGCCATGTTTCAGTCACTTCTCCCCAGGCCGAGCCTCCTCCTCAGGCGCTTCGTTTTCGCATGGCAGAGGCGAGCGCGAAGCGAGTGACTGGTGATGAACCGCAAGGGACCATGGGAAGGGTACTGACGGCGGGCGAAGCAAGGGCGAAGCGCCGTCTCGCCCATTAGGGACCTTAAGCAAAGACGTTTTTGAGCGACGCACGTCAACCGGAAGTGAGGCCTTCTCCCTTTTTATATGCCTTGACGCTAACAAACTTGTATTGCTGAGTATCTTTTCTCTTTTAAAGACGATTTACCCGAGAGTTTCAACGAAACCACTCCCCAATGATGCAAAAAGTCCACTTCCGGTTGACGTCCGTCGCTCAAAAAAAACGCTGTTGCTTAAGCTCCCTATTGTCTCCTTCCCGCCTTCCTTTGCGCGAACATTTTCATCAAAAGAGAGACGTCTGGGTACGAGGCAGCCCCAGGCCACTTCAATGGTGGAGGGCGCTGAGCTTGCTAGCCTACGAGCAAGCTTTAGCTTTCTCCCGGGGCGCTCTGGCGGCCGGGCAAAAAAAGGAGACTCCTTCTAACTCCTAACTCCTTCCCCTCTTCCCTCCCCAACCCCAGTACCCCTGAGCACCCCAGGAGAGCTTGCTCGCAGGAACGCTCGCAGGCTACTGGTCTCCTTCAGTACGGTTTCTTCCGTTGTCACGCAACGCTCCTCTCGACTCCTCCTTTGTGGGGAGGAGCATTGCGTGACGACACAAAGGAAGGCTGTGTAGCAGACTATGGTTTCTCCCGGCCGGACGTAGCGTCCGGCTGGGGTAGCCTGTTCCAGGCGGCGAGATACTCTTCCGGGGAATTGAGAACACGAAAATAAAACGTGTCACGCGCTCATATTTTCGTGTACCTCTCACTTACGCGACATCCCTGCTATGTGAAAGAGCTTGGACAACCTCGTCCCCAGGGCTTTTCCCTTGAAAAATGGGTGGGCCCGCCCCACCCATTTTCAAGGGAAAAGCCCTGGGGACGAGGTTGGAGCTTGGAAACGGCGAGACCTGGAGAAACCACAGCTAAATGTTAACCCAAATATTGTTCTGTCGGCAACATCCAGGGGATATCAAGCCAACTCTAAAACGCTAAAATGAATAAATAAATAAATAGAAAATTAAAAAAATTAAAAACGCTCGCTGTTTGATCGTAATTTCCCGTCACCAAGCGAGGCGCTTTTCACTGTAGCCTTTCTAGAGCGGCTTTATCTTTCTGGTAATGCAGGTCCCATGCACTACAAAGATACTGAAGCTTTGGTCTCACAAGTGACGTGTACGCGCAGGTTTCTTTCACTGACTTTGGACAGTTCCACAGATTGCGTTTAAAAAGTCCTAAGACTTTATATGGCCCTAGATTAGATTACTTTGATGTGTGGGGACCACCTCATTTTGTTATCAAGCAATACTCCCAGAATCATCTGTAGCTGCATGGTTATGGTGAATTATGCATGTGCTTTTAGCCAATTAGAATCGGGGAAATATTTTGAATGAATAATAATGCTTCTTAAAAGAAAAGAGCCTTTACTTAGGGAATTGGTTGCAAAACTAAAGAGGTCTTCATATGTTCAAGTTACAATAATTTGTAACTGTGAACAGCCAGTCTGCATGAGATATATAGTCACACAGTTTTCTTGTGAAAGTGTTGGACTTTGCCCCTTTCATGGCTCGTACGTGAAGTAAATATTCAAATTATTACACAGTAATCTATAGTAAGAACGGCCCTGAATAGCTTGAAGAAAGTAAAAGGAAAGAATCTTGAAACATATAATAGATAGATAGATTATCATCTATTGATCATCTCTATCAGTCTCGGTTGAATAAAGCCTGTATATCTTGATGGGTTTTATAGTGGGTTGTTTTCTAGTTGTTCGCTGTCTGTTCTGGTTAACTTATCATTTTCTTGCAGTACAATAATTCTGTATGGTCTAGGCTGTCGTTAATGGGTTTCCGACAAATAATCACTCTCAGGTGCCCAGTATCCGGACAGTTTTTTTTGCTGTACAGAATCAATGAATTAGCTGCGTACATATCCGGATAAGATTTATTGCATATCTATAACTATAATTACAGCTTAGGATATATGATATAGTCATAAAATGTACTTCTACTCAACTCCATAAGGAAATTTTCTTCACTCATTCAGAGGCAACTTGATTTCGTGTGCACGGCTTGTTTCACGTGACTGCATTTTCTATATAAAACCGAAAGCGTTGGAGTTGAACCTGGAATTCTCATACTTTCCCCAGTTCTGACTGCTAGAATGGGGTTGCAACGGTCTGAAAACTGTCACAAAGGGATTGAGAGATATATTGTGAAAGAAGGAGGAATTAGTGCTAGAAAAGCAGGCTTATTGTCGGAACTCAGCATGAAGAAATCAACACTGCAGGTCAGACCAAATAGGAGAGTGACCTTTGACCATCGGATTGAGGTCCCTTCCCCGAGCTTTTTTTTTTTAATAAAAAATGAAGGAAAAAAGTCGTTTGCAGATTGGCTGATTGAGCTTGCAAACCGCGGCTTCGGTATATCCAAGGATGCCTTCCTTAAATCAGTGAAAAAGTTCCTAGACAAGGAAGTAAGAATTATACCATTTAACAGTCGCTCGCATTCCCCACCATACCCCAGTCATTTGTTATGTTTTATTTCACGATGCTAGGTCATATTTTTGGAAGCTTATAAGTCGCTTGCCTGTCGAAATTTATGTACAATTATGCTGTTATTGTTGTGTCCGGATACTGGGCCAGCTGTCGGGATACTGGGCAACATAGGAGCTCTGCAAAAATATTAATTACACAATGGAAACAAAGGCAAAAAAGTTAAACTATTAATTCGTCATCTTAAGGACTAAATAGATTTTCTTTGGGCCAAATTTCAGAGTTCTTACGACTAACAAAGGAAAGTCATTGCAATGTTAAACTGAAGTGTCCAGATACTGTAAAACCTACTGTACAATGTCCAAACGAGTTTATGTTTCACTGTCACATGAGATTCTATGTCATGCAATGGTCCGCGACAAAGATGTTATGGTAGCCTGTGTACAGCCGCCCCCCCTCCCCTCAGGAAAAAAACAGAGAAGGGGCAATTTTTTCTGAGTTGACGGGGCGGCTATACACAGGCTAGTTTTATGGCAGCCCAGTTAAATTGACTTTCAGCGAGTCTAGTTTACTGCAGAGGGAACATTTTTAAAACACAAATGGAACCCTCGAAGAAACTCTACCTGGAAATTTCGGATCCACTTGGAATCGAATAGCTACAATCTTGGACAAAATAAATGGAAAACCTAGACCCCCCTTCCCTCCCAAATCAAGAATGGGAAAATGGCGCGTTTTTGGCCTTCGCGCCGCTTCATCCTTGATTTAGGGGGAATTGGGGTTTGCTGTTCCATTTTATTTTGTCCAAGATTGTAGCTTAGATCACAAAATCGGTAAACCTGGATTTGGATTCCTTGGACTTCAAATCCGGCGAATCCTGGATTCCCCATATCAAAAACAAGGATTTGGATTTAAAGAAAGGAACGCGACAGTCGAAACTTGTATGCATTTGCATAATAAATGTATGGGGTGGTAGGAAAATCTTACAATTCGTAACTCACATTAAAACATCAAAGTAAGCCTAAGCTTATTGTAACAGATCAGAACTTATTCAAGTCAGATATTTAACTTGACTAACCTTGACTGCATCCTACAGGAACATCGATGAATTTAACATGCGGACAACGTTTGGAGAGATGGTCCTTGAGGTGGCGAATGACAGAAGAAACGTGAACGACATCAACACAGTTGTCAACACTGCGCCTCGGAAAGCGGGAAGCCATGTTTCAGTCACTTCTCCCCAGGCCGAGCCTCCTCCTCAGGCGCTTCGTTTTCGCATGGCAGAGGCGAGCGCGAAGCGAGTGACTGGTGATGAACCGCAAGGGACCATGGGAAGGGTACTGACGGCGGGCGAAGCAAGGGCGAAGCGCCGTCTCGCCCATTAGGGACCTTAAGCAAAGACGTTTTTGAGCGACGCACGTCAACCGGAAGTGAGGCCTTCTCCCTTTTTATATGCCTTGACGCTAACAAACTTGTATTGCTGAGTATCTTTTCTCTTTTAAAGACGATTTACCCGAGAGTTTCAACGAAACCACTCCCCAATGATGCAAAAAGTCCACTTCCGGTTGACGTCCGTCGCTCAAAAAAAACGCTGTTGCTTAAGCTCCCTATTGTCTCCTTCCCGCCTTCCTTTGCGCGAACATTTTCATCAAAAGAGAGACGTCTGGGTACGAGGCAGCCCCAGGCCACTTCAATGGTGGAGGGCGCTGAGCTTGCTAGCCTACGAGCAAGCTTTAGCTTTCTCCCGGGGCGCTCTGGCGGCCGGGCAAAAAAAGGAGACTCCTTCTAACTCCTAACTCCTTCCCCTCTTCCCTCCCCAACCCCAGTACCCCTGAGCACCCCAGGAGAGCTTGCTCGCAGGAACGCTCGCAGGCTACTGGTCTCCTTCAGTACGGTTTCTTCCGTTGTCACGCAACGCTCCTCTCGACTCCTCCTTTGTGGGGAGGAGCATTGCGTGACGACACAAAGGAAGGCTGTGTAGCAGACTATGGTTTCTCCCGGCCGGACGTAGCGTCCGGCTGGGGTAGCCTGTTCCAGGCGGCGAGATACTCTTCCGGGGAATTGAGAACACGAAAATAAAACGTGTCACGCGCTCATATTTTCGTGTACCTCTCACTTACGCGACATCCCTGCTATGTGAAAGAGCTTGGACAACCTCGTCCCCAGGGCTTTTCCCTTGAAAAATGGGTGGGCCCGCCCCACCCATTTTCAAGGGAAAAGCCCTGGGGACGAGGTTGGAGCTTGGAAACGGCGAGACCTGGAGAAACCACAGTTAAATGTTAACCCAAATATTGTTCTGTCGGCAACATCCAGGGGATATCAAGCCAACTCTAAAACGCTAAAATGAATAAATAAATAAATAGAAAATTTAAAAAATTAAAAACGCTCGCTGTTTGATCGTAATTTCCCGTTACAAAGCGAGGCGCTTTTCACTGTAGCCTTTCTAGAGCGGCTTTATCTTTCTGGTAATGCGGGTCCCATGCACTACAAAGATACTGAAGCTTTGGTCTCATAAGTGACGTGTACGCGCCGGTTTCTTTCACTGACTTTGGACAGTTCCACAGATTGCGTTTAAAAAGTCCTAAGACTTTATATGGCCCTAGATTAGATTACTTTGATGTGTGGGGACCACCTCATTTTG